AAGCTAATAAGAAAGGCCCGAATAAGAAATGACTATGAGTTAACATACATATTGATATCGGATAAAATTATTCTGTTGAAGTTCAATCATTGCGTCTTTTCTAAGAATGTAGATATCGTTTGAGGCAAATCTAAATGGTTTTTGTTTTACTTACAGTCCTTCCCCTGTCAGCAGCAAGCAAGATATCAGGTGGTTTCCTAAATGCAGCTGACAGCAGGGGATGATACCTCAAAGACAGACTGGCATCATAAATCTTTATGTGGAAAACGTCTTTATCCTACCTGTATCAAAAGCATAATAGGTGGCAGCATAAGTAACTTTAAATGCAGTTGACACCAGAGGATGATGCCATAAGGATATACGAACATTTTTATTTATAGAAATTTAAAAATAAAAAGTAATAATCAATATATATCTTCCATTTTCATTTTTGTTAGGACTAATATGTGTCTGACCTTTAAATCAATATGTAAATACAGCCAACATTTAAAATATCTATGTATACAATAATCTTTAGGAATCAGATGTGTGTATATATAATTACATTTATTTTAAGTGAATCAACATTTTTTTCTACACAAAAAAGCAGAATGATTTTGGTTGGTTTGACTGTTCAAATCATTAAAATAAGTATTAACTTTTGCAATGCAGACATCATATTACTTCTTTCATGCTCAAATTTTGTGCAATCAAAATGAAAATGAGCCTCATCTTCAATAGTACTGGAAGTACATTTATTATATATTCTGCTGTCAGAGAATACCTTGATATCTACTCAGTTCTATTTGTAACCAATGTGAAGAAATACGTAACCTTGGAAAACTCTTCTTAGTTCAAAATTTTTAATCAATGTGAGAAATTTCTGAAAACCAAAATTTGATTTATATGCATGATATCTAACTGTTTTTTCCCAGTAGCTAATGAACACAGTTGATAGGTTGGTTTGAATATACTTCTTAAATCCGTAAATACTCTAGGAACATTTCTAGTAGTTGCACATCAATCCCAAGTAACTTCAATATAACATTTATTGAACCATACCAGAAAAATATAATATTATATAAAGATTCTTTGTTTATTTTTGAATTTTGAAAATATTATTATGTTTTAAATGCTCATTAGCATGGAGGTGGGCATAACGTAAAGTAAAACGAATTTTAACATATTGAAACTGTTCAAATATATTTCCTCTGATGTAAATTTTTTATATAAAGAAGGGAAGTTGCTGCAAGAATATCGAATGTGAGTATATGTTTTAAACTCTTATGCATCATCTTAATTTTTGACATTTTACATCTTATTTTTGAATGCACCTGGACAAAACTTAAATTCGTCGCCATTGTCCCGTTAGGTGTTAATTTATTACGGTGCGTGTTGTCAAAACCGACGCCACTGTTGTCAGTTAGCAGTCTTATTATCAACACTATGATGTATGTAATGTGTCATAATAAACGTACATCATGGCTTATCGGTTCATCTATTTTCGATGGGTCCCTATACATATTCATAGTTTTGCCGTAGGAAGGAAATCTTAATTGAATACAGCATGTTTAATTTATCAGAATTATAGGACAAAAATACTTTTTTTAAAACAAAAACTTTTTCTGAATGCATTAATTCGATATGGCAAGAGGAGAAAAAAAGTTTTACTTTAATCGGTTTCGTATACCGGTATTATCATGAGCTATGTTTTTTAAAAACAAACATAAACAAAATGGTTGGTTTATTTTGTAATCAACCACTTTAATACAATGTAATTGATATTTGCGCACAACTACAATTAATGGAGGAAAAAGATCGATGCATCTCTGAACTTCAATTAATTTTATAGAACTGTTCTCTCACATGTTTCTTAATTCTTACAATGATTGATGTGCCTGCCAACTAGAAACCAACATTCAAGCATTCTTTTAAAATATATAGTATCTTCAAATTTTATCTATAAAAACAGTTATAATTAAGAAAAGTGCCAAAGGAGTTGTTTACATTATACAGAAAATAACCAGATATAAATGTGTTTCTGAACGAGTAAAATAAAATATATATATATGGTAATACCCTGTTTGTACAGTACATGTCAATGAATACATTTAAAAGTAGAAGAGTTGGCACCAAGTAAGTACAATAATCTACTGCATGTATGGCAGGGGTCAAAGCAAAGCTATTGATAGATTCTCTTCCGTATGATTTATATACCGTCTTAAGGAATGTTCCTTTGCTACCTTGACATTGTTATAAAATTTAGCGTAAGTTTTATATATATATTTATGTATTGATTTTACAAATACAATTATTTGAAGAAAAGATTTCTTTTCTCTTTCATTATGACGACAATATCAACTGCAACTGTAAAGACGCTGATACCACGAAACAATACCCTTTCCTCTGGCAGTTTTAGTCCTGTAAACAGTTTTAACATGTAAAGCAAGTAGTCCGTATTTCAACGAAAAGGTGAAAAGGTAATCATAAAGAAGTTTAAGCATTTTGGGGTTGTTATGATATGTTATTTCGCTGAACATTTCTATAACACTTACTACCATATAAATAAGCAAACATGAAGTCACACCTTATCTATATCTAAATGCAAAAAAAAGTCAACTCCTTTCAAAAATTTTTATCAAAATATCAGGGAAAAATTATGTTTCCATTTTTTTCCACATTACGTAAGTGCCTCTTACCCTACAAGTAAAGACATATATTGCCCTCTTTTAATTGTAAAATGTTGCTCAAGGGTATGATGGTGTAAAGAATAATTGGCAAAATCGGTGATTAAAAATAATTGAGGAACTATATATTTCAATGGTCGGGTAAGGTAATAACTATGTATTTGTTTTCTTTTAAATATGTTTTAAAATGAAGTTGAACCTTATATATCAGTATATATTTTACACAGAAAAACTAATTATCTCATGTTTATGTAGATATGTACTTTTAATGTTGTCCAAATATTCAATGTTCAAAATTCAAACGCTTTTCGTTTACAATTACAAATACATACTTATGCCTATTTCAAAGCAACAACTTGGCCATCAAACGTTTGTAACTGCTAAATTAAAATGCACTGATAAAAACTCATAATTCTAAAATGATTTAAAGACTATTTAATGAGGTTTTAATGTAAAGCACAAATCTACAAGTGTGTGGCGAATCTTAAAACGCCAAGATAGTTATCTTCGCTGTCGGTTAAGACCCACAACGCTTTACGAGTAGGTGGCCTTTATATGATGAATAATGCAAGAACCAGTAATGCATGACTCGTGATCCTAAGTGGAAGGCGTATGACATATCCATCATTAACAAAGCGTGAAACACCATTAATAAAGCATATCATACAATATTCCGAACTGAACGACAAAATACATAAATGCTATAAAATCCGTGTTTGTTAGCAATTCGGGTGTATTTCAATTTATGCTTATACAATTTAATTCACGTTTTAATACATTTTATTTTTGATTGATTTGTTATACACAAAAGTATTATACATTTGATATCACACACATTAAAATTTCTAGAAAAGGTACAAAAAGCTTAATCGGTAAAAATCAGGCCAGTACTACTTTGAAATCAGGAAAACATCATATATAAAGGCAGTTATCATTTCGGCAGATGTATAATGTTCAGTTAGTGTCGAATTACACTTTTTTTTTTTATATAAAAGGAAAATAAGCACATTTATCACAATTAAAATTAAATATTTTCAGACAGATGAATGTAGTGGTGTTGATATTTCGGAGCTCTTTATATCTAAATTGTTAAAAAATAAGATTATAAAGCCCCATAGTAATATTTATTCTCATTGAAAACTGAAGACAGGTTTATGGTGTAAATGTACGTGGGATAACTTGCGAGTCGAGACCAATAGGAAGGCGACTCTTTTTGCATTTAAAAGTAAAAAAAAGTATCAAGTTATTTTATCTAAAAAAAATCACAAAGATTAATCACCATTTTATATATGTCTAAAATATTTGTTATTTTTTATATTTCAAATAAAAATGAAAAGATATGGGCAAAAACATACTGTCATACTATTTTCCAAGTAGAATGCAATAGTAGCCTGATAAAAGATGCTAATATTTAAGAAAATGCGATAATTTTTTTTTAAAATTATATACAAACAGAAGATCTTTCCATTTATACATTAATGTTGCTATTTTGTGACAATTCAACGACATAACTTTGAAACAATTATTGCAGAATCAGCGTAAATGAATCTTGACCTATTTCATGTAAAAAAAGTAGTACTGCTTACTTATGATATATGTTCATATGAAGAATTCTATATAAAATTATATTGGATGCATTACATATATTTATCTGTTGGTTGGTTGTTTATATATATATATAGTTCGATTCTAGATGGCCGAGTGGTCTAGAGCGCTGGACACAGTGCAGGCGATGTTGTCACGATATCCCAATATAGCATGAGTTCGAATCCCGGCGAGGGAAGAACAAAATTTTGCAGATTTAACATTGTTGTGCTGATATTTAGAGTAGCAAATATAATATGTTCCGGATCGTCTAGAATAGGCGATACTGCGCAGATAAGAAAAAAAAAAGTTTAGCCGACCAGTACTTATATAAGATGGTAATATACGAAGATGATGTTATAAAATCGTGTTAATAGTGTTAATAATTTTAACAATGCGTTTATTATATAAATTAAACAAAAATCAAAACAACGGTTTTCACAATTAGTTTGATGTTAGAACGAATACAAATGTGACTCTGACGATATTTAGACGTTAATCCAATAATAAAATAAAAAGGGAAAACATTTCTAAGATTAAATATAAGATTTAAAAGAATGGACGGAAAAGGGAGAGAAATATCGGGAAGCGGGTAGGAGTCAATCAAATTCATACGTCTAAACAAGGCGGGCAGCAGTGTGTCTTAATCACATGTCAGACTCTAAATAGCCTCCAGTCTAGAAAGGTTTCTATAATAGAAGTTAACTGATATTAAAAAATGTATGACATTTGCGTATATAAAATCAACGATAATATTTAACAATTTATTTAAATTATTCTACCACAAAAAAACATATCAATAACAAATAACAACAAATAAACATCTGAACAATTTCATCTCAGTCTGCTTTTTGTTGTGCGAAGACAAAATGAATGACATAATATTGTGTCGAATAGTTTGAAAAAAAAAGAGAAAGCACAAAAAAAAGAAAAAAAAACCCGAGCCAGATGAGATTAAAAGTCATTATGAGTAACTGGGAATCATATTTTACCATATTAGAATTATGGTATGACAGAATAGTATTCTGTCTTCTTCAATTTTACAGAATTTTTTCTTTAATGCTATATGATGGTTGCTGTATTTCACTTGAATAGATTTAAGTGATACTTCGTCCAAAAAGTTTTTAAAATCTCATCAATAACTTCCTACAAACTCAATACAATTTGTAGACATTTCACATAATTTTTGATGCTCAATTCCACATTGTATCATCGTAAACACATATGTCGTAAACGCCTATGTACAGCAAATAAAAAAGGATAGAAAAGATGAACAATGAATACAAATATACACAGAAAAGGATGTATTGCATGACTCCAGTTTAAACAGACACAGTAATAATCTTTTTTACTCTAAGCATATTAAGATTCATCTGATATTTTTCCTATCTACATTTACAGATTTCTTATTATAGTTGTCTTTAAACAAACCGAGCTCCATATCCGAATGTTATGTAAAGATCACATTCGTCATCAGTTTAAAAGTCTCGGTATATATGGTTAAATTGTGTATGCATAAATGAGTAACTACATCTTGTAGAAATGCGCAGAGAAGCTAAGATTTTGGTGTCAAATTGGCTCCGGAAATCAAATGTAGTTCAAAATTTTGCTAACTCGCAGAATTAAATGTTTATCTGTGTATTTTAATTAAAAAAATGCAGTTGTTGGTTAAAATATATTCGTTTCACGGTTTTTATGTCCCCGAGGTTATCATAAGCCCAGTTTATTCCGTAAATCGAAATAATGAGGTTTTTCTATCACGTGCATAGATTCGGCACAACATTTTGGATTGTTTAGTTTCAAATGCTATTCAACTTCGTAATCGGTTTGGTATTCAAACTGTTTTAATATGAGCGTCACTGGTATTTCAGACGAAACGCGCGTCTAGCACTATAAATTACCAGCCTGGTATCTTTGATTACTTTATACAGTCATGAGATGTAGTACTGTAATTCACTACAGACAAAATGTTATACTCCGTTGACTATTTGACTCATACATTGTTAGAAATTATTGAGATTACAACAATCGACCAAAAATATTTTCACATAGGAAGTGTATGCTATGTGTATCTATTCACAAGCAAAAAATCCTTTTAAGGCTCTTTGTTATTTTAGCCAAAATGATGCTGAAATTTGTCAATTTCTTCAGACGAATATGCATGTTGACGCCAAAGTCAAATTGTGTTATCAACTCAGAATTTATCTTTTCATTGTTATCTTTTCATTGTTTCAAGTGAAGTTTATAAAAATGTGATGGATTATTGTCTCTTGTATTTTGTTTTAATTTTTGGCCAAACAAATCCAAAAATGTAACTTCTCCTTTGAAAGGTGTGTGTTGACCTGCATCAGTGACATGGATCGGGATAAACTTCTGTTCAAATATTAGCTATTAGCACCTATATGTAGTAAATAGATCATTTCGTTTTATCCATCATATGAAATATTTCAAATCCAGGAGAGAAAAAAGGAAAAAAAAGTTTTAGCACCAATCACATAGAAATTATTCAAGACATAGACGCAGTATAATTGTTTGAATCGCCATCTCTGCTCAATCGTAATAATAATTTATCACTCTTGGATTTCACTGCATTCACTGCATGGCCGTTACAAACTCCTATACATTTAGCATGTTTGTCCCCAGACATTTCGAGGTCTGCATTATCACTTTTAGACGAGTCAAGGTCACAACTTGGTTTCCTTATTTTTAATGTTAATGGTTTATCTTGAACAGTAGTTTTATTTGGCAGTATCATATAATTGTTATTTTGTACAGAAGGAGAAAGTGGATTTTGTTTGGAGTCATCACTAACATGACCGCTGTCATCTAGGTTACTGGTTGAAATATCATCGATGGGTGTGGAAGCTGCAGTAGGTGATCGGAGCGGAAGCTTCATTGGTGTGTTTGAAGATGACACCCGTTGACCGAGAAAAGTTACATATGATGTCATGTACGACTTTGAAGAACTTTCACTTTGTTTTGAAGTCGGAAACTCATCAGCTGTTGCATTGCTATTACTGCTAGTAATCTTTTCTCTTTCACTGTTTTTCTTCATTGTTTTCATGGACAAATCAATACCACAACAAGTTTCTTGCTGATCTACAATATCTGATAAAGCTGATTCGTCATGTGATATTTGAGAATCATTAACTTCACAACCTGAGTCTTCGAAACATTCATCATCAGAGCCAATGTTTGTCACTGATGACACACAACCATTACTACAAGTATCATCGGAAACCACCAGGAGTTGTGCAGTGTCAGATACACTTGTACATGGTCGTTTGGCCGGATTTCCGTAAAATGCATAAGTAATCTGAAGTACACTATCCTGTTGGTAGAAAGAGTAAGATATTGAATGTTTAAATTGTCAAGTAGATTAACTTAATATTAATAGTTTTGAAATGTTTACCTTTAAACAAATATTAAAACCTTATTCTTAATAAATCAAATTTAACAAAGATATTCGAAATGGCTAAATACTGAACTCATGAAATGATTAAAATGCTTGGAAATATCAGCCAATTGTCGATCTAACTTTCTTTCTGTAACAATACAAAGGTATGTCGACTGTAAACGGCAGACTGACATTTTTTCCATTAATTCCTTGATTTTTCTCTGGCACCGGAACACATATTATTCTTCGTATATATTAAATGAAAAGGGTGTAAATGTAATTAAATTTCTAATCAGGAATGTGGTCAGAAATTGGACAGCTTAATCCACCTTTGACTTGTAAGCAATTAAATCAAAGCCTTCAGCGCCATCGTCAAAGCTGAATGACCAACCTGTAACATTTTTCACATTTGTTTAAATGCTTACCCTCCTCCATCCAGTGATATATGCTACATCTACTAATGTGTAATAATCATTTAACAACTCCTCACCACAGAAACAATCAACCTGAAAACATGTAAAATATACCTGTTTATAGGCAATACAAGAAACAATTTAATAACTATTGCCATTGGTATAATAATATGCCAAATATATGTAACAGCCCTACATGTTAAAAGTCTCTCGATTTTTGAACATGAACGTCGCTGATCGGGAAAACAAATTGTCTGCAATAAATTATTGTTTTGATTTTGTAATAAGATGAAATCCCATGAATATTTTTATATGTACACAAAATAATCATACCAAGATGCCAATTATTTGTTATGTTACAAAATCAGAAGCTTAAGTGAAGGCATTATATAATATTGAACAATTGACATTTCAATTTCTGTAACAATGAACACGATGGAAATATCCAGAATCAATCGTTAAGATTGTATTTAGCATAAATATAGTAAAGTGTGAATGTGAAATCTTACTAACTGCTTATTACGGTTATGAAAATACAATGAAGCATATCGGAAATAAATCAAATTTAAAGGATGACAAGTAAGAAACCTAACTCAGAAGACCAATATTATATTATAATGACGAAATCCGTTGTTCGGATAGTTTATCGTATTATAGAAAAGTCAATCATTCACTTGTATCAATCCTATATAACACCTTCAGCTGTCCATTGTTTTGTTTAAAATAAGCAACAACAAAAACAAAAAAAGTATTAGCAAAAGTACCGAACTCCAAGGTAAATAAAAAAGGGGAGTTCCATAAAACCTGACAAAATCAAACGCTCGCAATTGAAAGTAAAATAAGGAACTGATTCAGCTACACGTTAAAAATTGTTCAACTGCAGTTCCTTGATACAAACAGAGACAATATACTTATCTTAAATATTTTCAATATATTTTTTATTACTAATAATTTGCAATCTTTTAAAAATTCAAACATATTTTTTTTATTTTACAAGTTGTAAACGAAATACATCCGCACACACACATATATATATGGCCGTACTTTGACCTATAATTGTTAACTTTTTATACATTGTGAATTGGATGGAGAGTTGTCTCATTGGCACTCATAACACCTCTTCTTATTTATATTAGCTTATAGAAGAGGTCGGTAGCTTAAACACTTCAAATTTTGAATGCAAGACAGAAATCACAATGATTATAGTAATAGTTTGTAGCTTAAAAAAGTGTATTTTAATTAACTTTAAGTTTCGTAGAATTTCAATGGCTTGAATACTTAATAAACAAATAAAAATAAGGCTATAAAGGAAATCGGAACCATTATCATTTCGATTTCCTTTCTATGCATCTATCAGTAGTTGCAGTTAAATTTCAACACTATCATATAAAACGATTGATTTTATAGGAATAAAATATAAAATTATCTGTAATTATGCCAGCAGAATAAAGTTTTAATCTCTTTGTATTTGTTTACTTAACAACAGTTTAAAACATAGAAATAAGGCATTGTTCTAATACGTTTAATAACGCTTTTTCCCTTCATTTTCACCTTGACAATTTTGAAACACATATACCAAATTTCGCCATACCAGATACCTAAAAAACGTATAAGGTCGGGTTCTGTGCACACGACATGTCATTGGAATACCCATAACCAGGTTCAATAAAGACCAAACCTTCGGAAAGCAAATCGAATATAACATTAGAAGGCATGCAAACCAAAAGAACCGAAACAGAATATCTGAAACCAAAATCAAAGTTGCCTTGGTGATTGAAACCTAAGTTTAGAACAATTATTAATTATACGGATTGCAACCCTTGTTTTAATACTATTATAAATTGAACGGATTGCAAAATAAATGTACCTGTTATAGCCCAATCTATATCACTGTATTTATCAACCTGATATACTATGCGGGGTCATTGCATTGTACTCAATAATTGATTATGGTCAGTTTTGATTCCTATATTGGTAGATTATTATCACATCTTTTTTTAAAACTTCCGTTGTCAATTTGAAAAAGTGTTATATGGATCGATCAAAACCTTAGTCAAAGTAGACTTGACTGCTATTTAGATACTGTGTCATATACCCAATCGCATTTAGTCTTTTCTAAAGAGATTAAAAAATTCTATATCTTTAAAAAGAAAAAAACCTGAAATACGTAAATACACAATAAAATCATTTAAGAATCAATTTAACGAATGGCTAAGAGCAACCAACATCTGTTGTGTAATGGATAACTTACCTCATAACGCTCTGGCAGTGAAAATTTCAACTTAATAAATTTCTTTAGGTGTTGTATAGAGACACCAGCTGGACATAATAAATACCTACAGTCTTCAAACTGAAAAATTGATATAGATGCATGTCAGTGTTTTTATGCTGCATAGCCATCAATCAGAGACATTTTGCTTTTAAAGTTCATAGTTCGTTGCCGTCCGCTGATTAAGACATTTTAAAAATGATTTAGTTTTACATATATGCTTATTGAGGAAAAAGGTCTGTCTTACAGTCAATTAAAAAAACTTATGAATTTGATATTCAAATTTGTATTTTCCCTTGATTAAAATTAACAAGAAAAAAAGGAAATGGACATTGAACATACGAAAAGAAAAACAAAGTATCCAAGATATGAATTATTCATAAAAAGTAAAATGACGAAAAATCTATATTTCAAGACAGAGTGAGCATTATATTTCATACTGAAGAAAAACCCACATAGATTTTCTTCCAATCATTACAATATGAAACATTTAAAGCAAGAGATTGATAATCCCATTTTTGTTATGTGGGAATGGGGTTTTATCAAATCATAAAAAGCTATAGAGCTTGACATTTGATAACCAAAAGACCTCTAAATCAAATAATCATAAGCCTGGTATCTTTGATGAGTTAAAAAAAAATAATGTAAGATTGCTTAGTTTTTCTATCTTCGTTGCTTCCTTAAAAACAGTATAAGAAACAGAAAAACTTTCCACAAGTTAAAATGTTAAAATCGCTTTCAAACAGTTTTCTAAACAAATAATAACTTTCCAGGAATTCTTTTTTGATAAAATGTCAGCATAAAGAAGAGGAGAAAGAAAAGGGAGTTTTGAGGAACTACTTAAAACTTGCCATATATATATATAGGAAAATGTATAAAACAAAGAAATATAAACAGATTAGACAAGTTAACAAAGTTATGACGTCATTATTACTTCATTATATGCGCAAATTTCACGATAAAAAAGATAAAACATGCAGATTTTACGAAGTTTTCCATTCATGTTTCCTTGGATGAAACATCGCAGCAAAATAACAATTACACATTTTCACATAATTCAACTAAATATAAAGTTGATATTTTGATGCGCACAAAATATACTCAAAGGTTGATACAAAACATGTAAACTAAAGAAATGTATTCCAAAATATACTAATTTCGTCATACTTTATTGCTATATTAACTCATAAAAAAATATTTTCATTTCCTGAACACCTTTTACCTAAGTCATAATAGGGCAAAATTACCATTACATGTATGAATTGTAACTTCAAAATTTGCACTTTGAACCAAATGTTGACCTTATTGCCCGTACTCCTTTCGTTTAAAACATGAATAGCTAAATCTCCAATTGTTTTTTTTTATGAACGTGTTACATCGGTTGGCCCGAGGTCAATCGGCATAAATCGTGATGTCATTCAACAATTAATCGGTTCTTACTGTGACGTAATATCATAAGCATTGTGACAAAGGAAGTATATATGTGAAAATGCACGAATTGAAACTAATCTATTAGAGTTCCCCGTAATTTTTAAAGATTTTCATTCCGTTTCATCTGATGATGGTCCTCTCATTTTATATTTAGTTTATGCACATTTATAGCACAAATCCTTGTTTCAGTATTTCAAACTCATGGTATATACCATGGTATATACGTCATTCAATTGGTTGGTACTACCGCTGATTTTTCTTTTATATATATACTATCAATTACCTTTTCCGTAAAAGTTTCTTTGTCTGTTACCCTGAAATAATAATAAAAAAAATACCTTCTGATTGAAGTGCAACAAGTTCATGTTTTACTAAATGTGCGCATTGTTGAAATTAAAAATTATATGTTATGCACGAACAAAACATGATAAAAAGGGTTGGAGTGAGTTTTATTTTTTAGATAATCAAATGTTTAGGATAATACATTTGTCAGTTTATCGCTGCAAAAATAAAAAGCACGTCTAAAACTGTATGAAAATCAACTAAATAATAATATGTTTGTCATTTCCGCCTGTTTAAAAAGTGATCTCGACAAAACCTCACATAAGTAGAAACAAATCTGGCAGGTTAACTCTATTACAATCTGACCAAGATATTATTTGAAAATAAAATACGGGGTGCACAAATACGTGAAGTATGAAGTAAAGTGGTCAGTTCTTTTCTATGGAAACTAGGATATTCTGCGTTGACAATTTCGTCATATCACAGTTACAAATTGCATGAAGAAGTTATTTTAAATTGTGTTAGAACAAGTAAACTTTTCATGATTTTGCGTTGACCACCTTCCTAATACATGTATTAATACATGGCGAAGTCCATATTTTGCAATTGGAAATTCATTATATTGATCTGATCAAAAATAGATCTGCAGCTTTACATAAATCTACACCTGGTGTAAAGGTATATTCTGTTAAGTTTGTTTCCTTTCCTATGCCCACATTAAATGCAATGAATCAACACTCTTCTTAAATTATGTAACTTATTAAGACTTAACAAGAAAAATGCATCATAAAACTTTGAATTTGGTAGTTATAATCCATAACGATTACTTTGTGAGGCTCTTACCGACTAGAAAACTGTAAACACAAACTGAACATCTCGTCAGAGCTAAAAACGATTCTCGTACCTTCTTTTGGAATGTTTTCTGAGGTATCTGTAAAGTAATGTAATTCCAACGTCATTTACTTACTACATTTATTTATGCTGATTGATATCCTTTTTTTTTTCGTAAGAAGCTTAACACAGACTATATCACTTAAATACACATTACATATACTAATACTGGGAAAAATCATCACAATTAAAGGAACATATCATGCAACATCAACTCTGAAGGAGATGGAACATTAAGAACATCAAATAAAATTGATATATTAAATAAATAATGAAATTCATAAACACATTCAGTAAATCAGCTTTTATATCGTGTTCATGCCGTAGGACTTAAACATGCTGCTAGTGTGATAATGGTCATTGGTATTCCGCCTAGCAATATAATGAACAGGTTTTACGTCCTACAATAAAGTGGTATTCAAAAGTGGAAGTATACAAACGGGAAACTCCACACTAAAATTTACGACAAAAGGGACGATTTTTCGTTCCCTATTGTTAATTTTCCCTTTTTGGATGGTGATGTTCCTTTGGCACCATCTTACGGTGTTTATATTTCACAACTCGTTCGCTATGTTCGTGTCTGTTGTGACGTTTTTTATTTTAACGAACGTAATCTATGTATTACTGGTAAATTATTAAGCCAGGGATTTCGTTACCACAAATTCTTCCACAGATATAAAGATTTGGTTTTGAAGTTTGGTTGTATACTTGTAGAAAACTTATTTCAAACGGGATTGCACATCCTCATTTTTACGGCAATATTGTTTACCGTGCCCGGAAATTTAGAAACGATCCTGGTAAACTTATCGATCCTTTAAATAAACTTATTCTGAAAGGTTACCAATTCAACACTGTAATTAGATCATTAAATATTGTTTTTATTGGTACTAATATTGATTTTGTTATCAGTAAATTAAAAGCTAACTAAATATTATTGTTATATACATTTACACATTCATGGATCTACAATCTGTCGATACCTGTATCTTGGCATTGCACAAGGTCGTGTTTTTCTCGGACTGTTTATGACGTCTTTACACTAAATCCATTGGATGTTGGATGTGTACGGATTGATAATTTAGTCTTAGATACATGATTTTTTTTATTAGTTGTTAGTGGCTTTGAACTAGCTGTCAGTAACTGCGAGTACTCTCAGATCTGTACTTAGTGTCTTTTTGTTGTTTGGATGTACAAGTACCCGGCCACGTCCACTTGTATTTGTAGATTTTGTATTTTTATCCATCTGATGAGTTAAGCCTCTTTCAACTGATTTTTATAGTTCGTTCTTATCTTGTACTGTTACACCACTGTCCCAGGTTAGGGGAGGGTTGGGATCCCGCTAACATGTTTAACCCCTCCACATTCTGTATGTATGTGCCTGTCCCAAGTCAGGAGCCTGTAATTCAGTGGTTGTCGTTTGTTTATGTGTTACATATTTGTTTTTCTTTCATTTTTTGTACATAAATTAGGCCGTTAGTTTTCTAGGTTGAATTGTTTTACATTGTCATTTCGGGGCCTTTTATAGCTGACTGTGCGGTATGGGCTTTGCTCATTGTTGAAGGCCGTACGGTGACATATAGTTGTTAATTTCTGTGTCTTTGGTCTCTTGTGGAGAGTTGTCTCATTGGCAATCATACAACATCTTCTTTTTTATAAAACATATATAATAATGATTGACACAATACACCTCTCTGCAGATACATCATCACCACTAGAGGACTTAAGTTTAGTAAACCAAATTACGGCTTGAACAAGTGACAGGTCTTGACAAAAAAGCTATTGAGTGCTCACATTTAAATGTGACGTCAAAGGAACTCATCTTTCCATGTCATTATAATGAATTATTAATCGATTTAACAATAGTGAAAACTTTCAATATCAATCAAATCAATTTATAATTTATGCAGTGGTTAATAAACGGCAATATACAGACAACAGTATCATCTGTATCGTATTGTGCTCACTGGGTACAAGGCGGATGGTACCATCAGGAACTAATCGTCTAACGCCAGCGGCATCAAATACCGTCGTTTTAAAAATAATGACGCTTTTTATATTAAAAAAATATTGGTGAGCAAATTTAATTCATGTTTTAGATACATTCAATCACGTAATTTATTTTGATTAAAATCTCGCAAGATTGGAAAGTAAGAGCTCCGAAACAAATGCATAAAATTAAGAATATAAAAATAGAAAATTTTGAAAAAGGCCGGTATAAAGCAACAGCAAACCAAACCAACAAAATTATTAGTATCATACAATCTACCTTAGAAAACGATAGTGATAGAAGGTGCTCTAGAACCACATATTTAAGGTTTTCATAAAAGAGCGCAATGTAGAAAGCTACCACAAATTCAAAGCAAGTCATCATTTTAACACTGCACATTCAATAAAAGCTTATAACTGCACATCGGAAACATTCAAAATTTTCTAAATGAGAAAAAAAATCAGCAATACTAAAGCAAAAGAGCTTTTCTAAAACCTTACCTTACATAAGCCGGGTACAGTTAATTTTTTTCGAAAAATATTCGGGTTTTGAAAAATTTGTGTTAATCAATCAAAATTATTAATATAGAAGTACGTTCTCCAGGTTGATCATCAGTCTCTCGTTTGTCATGCGCAGAATCTGTATGTTATTTTATGTGTAAAAATAAAAGAACAGAGTTTCAATGTCCCCCGCGTTGCACATATTTTACCTATCCAAGGTACAAAGGCAATAACTAAAAAAAAGCACTTTTTTTTGTTCTTTAATTTTTTTTTATTAATATCTTAAGAGAAATGAGGGCTTCAGAGCAAATGCAATGTGATTTCCATTATAATTTATATTTCCAAGGGGCATAACCCGTTAAAATATTTGATCAGAACTTATTTTCGAAAGTTTCAAAACACATTGCTGATATAAACCTATGATATAAGTTTCATAACATTCTGGCAAGAATTGAACACATGAGAGCGATAACATTGCAATTTTCCATATAATCAATATTTTCAAGAGGCATAACTCTTTTAAAAATAATTGATCAACACCGATTTTTGAACTCTTCAAGTACATTGATGATATAAACCTATAATATAATTTTCATAAAAATCTGGCAAGAATTGTACACATTAGAGAGCTCATAAGGCAATTTTCCATATAATTAATATTTCCAAGGGGTATAACTCTTTTAAGAATTATTGATCGGCACTGACTTTCAAATTCGTCAAAGACATTGCTAATATGAACCTATGATTTAAGTTTCATAAAATTCTGGTAAGAATTGTACATACGAGACCGATAACAATGCAATTCTCCATATACTTTATATTTTCCAAGGGGCAGAACTCTTTTAAAAATAATTGATCGGCAATGATTTTCGAACTCGTTCAAGACATTGCTGATATAAACCTATGATATAAGTTTCAAAAAAATCTGGCTAGAATTGAACACATGAGAGCGCTAACGATGCAATTTTCCATAAAATTAATGTACCCAAGGGCATAACTCTTTTAAAAATTATTGATCGGCACTGATTTTCGTACTCGTCCAAGACATTACTAATATAACATATGATAAAAGTTTCATAAAATTCTGGCAAGAATTGTACACATGAGAGCGCTAACGATGCAATTTTCCATAAAATTAATGTTTCCAAGGGGCATAACTCTTTTAAAAATAATTGATCGGCACTGATTATCGAACTCGTCCAAGACATTGCTGATATAAACCTATGATATAAGTTTCATAAAAATCTGGCAAGAATTGTACACGTGAGAGCGCTAACAAGACCGGACGGACGACGCACAGACGGACGCCCGGTATTTCCATGCCCCCCCCCCCCCCCCCCCCCCCCACCCGGCAACGATAACTTCTTTGTACCATTAACTTGTTTTGATAAGGAAAAAAGAAAAAAAGAAAAAAAGAATATTGAATCTTGAAACAATCAAACACGCACACAAAAAAAAAAACCCACACCCAACAAAACTAACACTGTGACCCCACCCCTCCTAAATCCAAGCAGATTACTGTAATTAAAAGACAGGGGAGTGAAATATATAAACAATCGTTAATTCCATCTCATAAAATATTAAACAAAACTTCAAAAAACTTACCCTCGAGAAAAATAACAAAAAGAGAGGACGGAAAAAAGATCATCCCCTCCCCTAAAAAAATAACGTAAAAAAAGAAGACTAGATATGGACGATGCCCCCCTCTGATCTGCCGAATGCATAAGTATAGTTCCACATACTTTAGATTTGACAAACAGTGATGTTGAAGTACAACTTGAAATTGTAGCGTTTTGTAAGACACAAGTAATGGTCCCAGGCTGACCATGTTGAGAAATTATAAATTTATCACTATGTACGATGATATATCTTTAATTTTCATTCTGAGTACCAAAAAAAAAATGACTAAGTCCAAATACCTGGCATTTTGAGAATATTTGAAAAAAATCAAAATCCTGTGGACATGCACACATTCTAATGTGTACAAACAACCTAAAAAATATATAAGCTGTAGCTCAAGAACTGTAGGAAGAGATAGCAGGACATATCATGTATATATATATCCGGACGGACGAACGGACGGATGGACACGGGTAAATTAATATGCCCCTCGACATTTTGTCGCGGGGGCATAAAAAAAGAAAGCATTCAAAAAGATTAAGAAACAAAAGGAATAAAATATATTCAGTGTTTAAGCTCGTTGTTAAAAATAAAATGCGTATCTTGGATCATTACTGCGATGATAAAAATGCATTGAAATAATAATCAACGATTACAATTGACAAAGACGTCTACTAATTAGTAATACTCTGTTCACAAAGATATTCCTTTCGTTTGATCAGAAGAGAACACTAATCAGATCTTTAATTTCAATATCCCCAAGGAACAACTGACAAACAAATATTATATTTAATGAACTGCAAATGAATTTGATTATTTCGCTCTTAGCATCCGTTCTGTGTTCTTCTTCTATTCGAGTGAAACGAAAGACAAAATCCGTGACTTGATGAATCAAATATAAAACTTGTGTAAGGAGTACATTGGCGACTGAAAGCTTATACGTGTTATCTCTGATAAATCTTTAAAGGCTCTGCACTGTATTTACTAACCCCATCCATAAATAATATTTGTACTTGCTGGTTTTGTTTTAAGTTGAGTTGGATTCCTGAATTCCTTTGTAAAAAAACAGCCATTACTCAGCATAACATGCATCCTGCCAATGCAATTTTAAGCCGCTTCTCAGGTTAGAATTTATAAATTTAATTTGTTGAAAATATATACGTGAAGATTTTGTCCAACTTCATGTAGATATTTTCAACAAATTAAGTTTTTACAACTTTTACAACGGTTCGATTTAAAAGTCGTAACAAGTAAGTTATAGCATCTGAAAAAAAAAGTTGATCATGAAATAGAGGGGTACTATACTTACCACTTCCGTCACTAATTTTTATATTGTCATAGAATTCTCTCCGACGTTTCATCTCTTCTGTAACAAAACAACAGATTAAATGTATAGTACGCATATTTCCAAGTTTACTGGAGATGTTTCCAATATCTTTTTCTTAATCAATTATCTTGATAAATGAGATTTATTTTTTCCATTTCATTCATTTTTTTTCATTGTTGTGCTTTTTGTTGTTGTTTTTTTTTAATTTAAACTTTACATTGAATCGAAAGTAACCATTTTCACGTAACTAGTAATTGACGCTTGAAAAATTCAGTCTGATAATGCATGGACTCTTTTTCATACTGACCTTTAAATAAACCAGGGACCGTTTTATATACAATATCTTGTAGCGTGTTGTCTGGTCTGAAAAGTGAACAGAAATATGCTACAATGTATAACAGTCTTTCTGAAGAAAAAAAAGTTCACATATCATAATATAGTTATGTCAAGCTTTCTATGTCAGGCAATCCTAGTAAAATGTAGCAGATGTAGAAAATTATTGAAAAAAACCCATATCAGAAGGCTATGTAAACATATAGAAAAAACTTTTCGATTTTTTAAGATACAAATATGAAAATAATGTTTTTTTTCAATTTAAAAGTAAAACCAAATTGTTCTTCGTCTTCATCTCACTAGTCAGAGCCACGTATTTAAATCAATGTGTTTATCTCTGTATTCATATGTATATCTTATTTATTCATTGTGTAATATTAAATCCAGGCAAAATGTTTAAATAGTGGTTTCTTTAAATAAATACCAAATAAAGCTATATGTTCTAAATGTCTTATTTCACAAATATTGAAGAAATACCTAATGTGTTCCAGTGGTCGTTTTTTGTGCACCAGCACTTCACAAACAGGGCAGTAATTACTTGTATGTAGATAGTGTATGATGCAAGTGCGACAAACTGAAAAAATAAAGTCAAAGTACCTGTATTAGCTCTGGGGTATTATATTACATTCTTATCATGTAATCATTCTAAAGCTATGAAACTTTCCCAGAGTAGCATATTGCGTTTAGTAAAGGGGCTTTAAGGATGTAGATTTGTTCATAGAACATAATACAAGTATGTGTATATATTCTCTTTATCTGGAATATTTCATTATTTGGATGTCGAGTCCAAGGGATGAATGGAATGTATAAATATGGTAACGTGAATGTATAAATACGCACTCACGTACCTTTAGAGTAAAGACGTTAAATCCAAAGCATAGTGTCTTATAACCTGTTGCTAGGCAACATTTTAATTGCCCTATCAAACACCATTCATTTTCAGGGACTGTTGAACAAGTCAAGTATAACAATTTATTACATTGAACATTGTGTTAGACTATTACATTGAACATTGTATTAGAATATTACATTGAACATTGTGTTAGAATATTACATTGAACATTGTGTTAGAATTCGCATCTAAATATGATGCACGTTATAAAAGATGTAAAATGTAACTACTAAAATAAGTAAAATAGCGAGAGAAAACGCTCTTTATTTAGATCGAACCACTATGCATACATCTACAATATTTGGTCTCTAGTGGTAAGTTTCATTGGAAATCACAGCACGTCTTCTTATTTGTATATGAAACATTTGCCACTGGACGTTAATCATTTATTGTGAGTGCTACAGGATATTCCATAAGCAACTAAAAGGAATATGGAAAAATAATTATCATAATAGATCCTGTATAGAGTAAGTGTCAAGCTGCTGGCATAGCTTTCCTTTGAAAATAAGGAAAACAGATCAGTTTCCCTATTGAACTACGGATATGAAATATTATGAATAATCTCAAAGGATATGCGAGACAGGACTTGTGTTGAATGTCAAATGCCCTCCAATCAACATGATCAATTCTTGATCTAAATCATCGTATATTCATAAAGTTACTTCCAGATAAAGAAACAGGCTACTGAAACTTTTGTCGAAATATTTGTGCCTAGTTTATTATCTATCAGTACATTTGTTTATATATATATCGCGTTAACTAAATACTTTAATAGATTTTATTACACCAAAGGCGACGAGTCTGACAGTTTAACACGTTGTTTATTATTTCCGAAAAATTGTTTCAGTGAACTGTAAATACTGATCTGCTGCAATTTCATTGTTTCGAATGTTTTATTGTACCACAGGCGCTTAATCGCTTGATATCATCTGGGGATATGCAGTTCCCTAATAAATTCATGAAGTTATGTTTAGCGATGAAGGCATGGACCACCAAAAACAACCGTGACTTACATTAGACTTCCGAGTCTTGTAAAGAAATGTACGCGTAATTCATTGATTATTTGCACTCTTTATGTTCGCAGTTACCAGTGATAGACTTCTGCAATATTTCAAAATAATTTCCATGGAGTTTTAATGTCATATCTTTTTTATAAATCGGCCTATATTTGTAACCTACAAATATGTATACTTATACAAAACATGTTGTACACCTGGGAGGATAAAAATTCTGAATGATTGTAATAAAAGCATGTATAATATTGATACACATCGATATATAAATATGCATATAAAATCCTTCTACTCACAGGAATGTAAACATTCTACAATTGATGTTGCATCTATCAGATATCCACCACATAATACACATATCAGATGCGCGTTTAATTCAGCTAATTTTAACTTGCTTTCCTCCATCCTATCACGTCCGTATCCAAATGTTTACATTTTACAGGCTAATTGCCTAAAATAAAATAAGCAATTGCAAAATAATGAAATATCAATCAAACTACTGCATGTAATTACGATTTCCAGTATGCTTAAGTTGTATTGATTCCATAAAGAAAATGGCGGAATCTGCAGGAATATGACTTGGCGGGAAAGCACATTCTATAATATCCATGAATTCAGCAGTTGGCGTGTCATGTCCAAAACGTAGCTAATCACATCAGAACTGACCATTAGTGAGATATATTGATAAGATAACTGCGGTCATTTTATTGAAATCAACAGAACCATCACGATATATTCGGCTTGTTAATCGAACATAAATTATAAACTAATAAATAAAATATGACAAATTTTAAGAAAGTGAGATGTAAAATTGAGCTTCTGCTTATAGAATAGAGATCCTCTAAAAGCAAAAAAAAAAAACAACACATAAAGTGCAGAAGTGTCAAACAATTCTTACCATAATAAAATACATAAATAACTATAATAACTAATAAAAAATATATAAAATACTTTGAAATGAACCACTCAGTATGCATTAAATCAGACGTTCATAACGTTTTGAAGTACAAACAATGTTTTGAAGTATACACAATTTTTTCAAGTATGATTTGGTATAAAAGTTTTATATTTTATAAAATATCTTTATACTGTTAACTAATAATATGTTAAATTACCTTGACAAAGGAAGGTTACGTTAGTTTCCTCTGAAAAATATTACACAAAGCTGAAATTTTGCCAAAAATGTAAGTCAGACAAGTACGTTAAACTTGGGATAGAGAAGACAAATAAACAAAACAATGCTTTAAACACGTCAAACCTATTTTATCACTTCTACTCAATAACTTTTAACACAAGTTTGATGATAATGTGTATCCGATTTACACCAAAATTACATTAAAAAAATATACCGTAAACTTATTCATAGTAGAGATTCTATCGGGTCGTCTTTTGTGACGTAGTAAGTGATACTGGTACAAGGTTGTGTACCGGATAACTTATTTGACAATGACATTTCTAAAAGAAGTATTTGATAGCAAATTAGTATGCTAAATAAAGTATACCACCCTATGTACTTTATTAAAACAAACAATACCATACACACTAGGTAATAAAATTAAACAATCATAAATTTATAAGTTATGCATTTCATAGCATTAAAACTTTTAATCTTTTACAGAAGAAAAGTTAACATATGTATTCAATTGAAACCTACTACGAAGACGAAGGCGAAGAAGAAGATAAACACAACCTGCTAAAATACCAAAAAAAATGACGAAAAAGCTACATCTAGAAAATTCAATAAAAAAAAGAAACAAACAGAACAACAAATCCAAACGGAAAAGAAAGAAAACTGAAAGTAAAATCAATTAGATTAAAAACAAAAAGAATACTTAGTTGTTCAAAACTTTATCTTATCTTAATAGTCCAAGGGCCGGTTACCATTCATAAGTCAATACTGAATAAATTGCATTTTAACTTTATGTTCGGTGAATACATTTTTTTTGTTAGTGATTAATAATAATTTCATAACGTACGATGAAATAATCTTACAATAATCACAGCAAACTCAAACAAAATGTACGATTGAAAAAGATATTTTTGTTTAAATAGACGTAATACCTGTAAATAATATTGCATATTTCAGTATTTCATAACACGTTTTCGTGAAAAATGACAACAAAAATCAATGATTAAAACGACTGCATTTGAAATAAAATAACCTTTATTCCCACATATAACTACGTAAAAGTTTAATGAAGCTGACAATCCTCAATTTACATATTCATTATTAAATCTAATTTTATTGACAGAATATCTTTTCGCCATGGTCGTTGGAAATAAATTAGAGTATAAATTGAAATTCGAGATAGTTTATGAACTTTTCACACGGTATACCATACATGTTCAACTCAATCTGTCGTAATGTTTAGTTTACTACTTTGGCAAAATAACATGTTCATCATCAATCTTTATCGAATTAGAACACGGAATTCTTTAAGTTATTCTTGTATAAATTGAAACAATTTATTGGTTAATGGTATACATCAGTATTTTGAATTCCCTTTAAACAACTAGCGTATAACAGCTAAGTGTTTGCTGTGTGCTATGACCAAATATTTTATTCAAGGGTCAGTGTCCTTAGCTCGTATATTACTAAATATCACAAGATATTAGTAATTAAATTAGATTATAAGTACGTCACTCTTATCTGTGTGAAAGTATGCAGTACACATTTCCTCTGACGTAAAAACCCTCGGATGTATTTGTGCACGAAACATTAATTTTACATTAAGTAATAACAACTTAATATCTGTATAAAATTATATAAAATGAACAAGTCAAGTATAACAATTTATTACATTTAACATGGTGTTAGAATTCGCATCTAAATATGATGTACGGTATAAAAAATGTTTTAAAATGTAATTATTAAAATAAGTAAAATAGCGCGAGAAAAATGTGCATTAAGCGTCACTTAATAAGTATATTGAAAATGTTAAAGGTCATCTTGTTTATTAAACGGCTCATGCCTATCAACTGTTTCACGAACCCAAAATTGTACCAGCATGAAGATAAATCGTTTAAAAACTAGGCAAATATTTACAGCGATCATTACATCGTTACGTTCACAGACAAATACGTATAAATCTGAGGTAAAAAGGCACTGATTTACATTAGATATATAAAACTACAAATATTTAAATAATATTGCTAATAATGCTATAATGCATGATTCAGTCAATGTAAGAATAATATTGCATATTTCAAGACGCCCTGCAACAAATACTACTCATAATAATAATTAAATAATAGTTTTAAATTTGTGACTGTTTTGTTGCTTTTCAATAGTGCTGATAACAATTCAATTACCTGTATAACAAACATGCAGGTGTAACACTTTTACGAAAAGATAATGAGCAACATGCTGTGCTGTGAGCGTAACTTTTACGCTTCTGCAAACTCTGCAACATATGGTTTTTTCAAAAACAATGCTTCACCTGTAAATACTTATACTATTTCAATATTTTTTTTTATTTTTGTAAAGAACAGTGTGCAGATTAACATGCCTATTTCCTCACTCTGTTTAAAACCATCGTCTGCACAAATGCACTTTTGTGTAAATTTATCGAACTACCGCCTAACTTATGCCGCCATCTTTCGCTACGTATGCGGCCAATGTAGTCAATCAATAGTGTTTAGATAAAAATGTTGATATGACTATGAATCTTAGTTAATAAATCAAACAGACGAATAATCAGAAGATTTACCTACCTCCATTTAAACTTTTGTGGTCACTGTGGTACATAAAACCACACACATAACCGCCGTCAATAAATTGGGTCGATACACATGTCACATGACCTAGAACTGTTGTGTATTCAGTTTATCCTGGTATTGTATGCAAATACACATTTTATGGACCAGTAACATAAAATTTAATGGTTTCGTATCTTCTATAATTTTCAAACTGTGATGGAACCTAGACTGCAACAAAACAAAATGCATGCATCATAAACATCAATATTTTTTTTAACTTAATCAACATAAATTAGTTAATTAATTTTCTTTTTCTCTATATTAAAAATCAATGTAAAACCTATTATATACGTTTTTATCGGTTACACAGAGAATATTATAAAAAGTAAAAAAAATTAAGTAATTAAAAAAAAATATATTGCGGAGATGTCTTTTATTTTGTTCATAACTTCACTTTTTTTATAAAAAAAAACCTTTACCAAGAAAAAAGTGTTGCTATTTTAACAAGAACGTATTTTTACATATTTTTACAAATTTACCCTGCAAGTAAAACATTTTCAATAATCTGCCAAATAAACTTTTTTTCCATATGGTATAGTTAAAATATATACTTATAACAGCCCTTTATATTTCTCGTTCATATTACATTTAATGAGATAATTAATTTATGTAATTGTATACAAACGAAACATTCCCTGGCTTTCGTATATATAAATTATATTTTATCCTTTGCTTTCACAAACTTAATTTTCTATGTGTTGTGTTTGTATGCATTTGAAACGGAGATTAAAAAGGAATAAGAACTGCACACTCAACAGAATACGACGCATGCATATACTTATGCAAGTATTTTGTTTACATATATATTTGTTTTTGATTTTTTTTATGTTAAATTTGTTCCAACCAAATTCATGAACAACAAAGGCATAAAAGATAGAAACAAGAAAGTTGGATTACGAGCATGTGCAAAACACGACCTAACTGTATTTTTTTCAACTTCGTTAACAAAAAAGCAATGCCGAGGCTTCAATTTAAACAAACCGTTTCATTGGTTTTATTTGTTTTAGTATAAGTGTTTTTGGATTACAAAGACGCTTTAAACTCATCTACAAACATTGTGTACATATGTCTATGGTACCATTGTGTGTGTGTATATATATATATATATATATATACTTTTTCACTTTTTTTGGTCTTTTGGAAAATGTTGTTTGTGCTGTATTTAGACCCCTCTACTAAGAAATTTGTTTTGCATGCACACGTATAAAAATTGCGATTTTTATCCAACGCAATCATAGGTTTGAACGTTGTTTTCAATTTAGACTTGTATATATATATATATATGTCTAAACGTAATATATATATGTCACTTGTTTAGACGTACTTATTTTATATCCAACGCAATCATAGGTTTGAACGTTGTTTTCAATTTAGACTTGTTTAGCCTAGGTGGTCGAGTGGTCTAGCCCGTCGGGCGTAGTGAAAGGCGATTTGGTGCCACGATATCTCAGTAGCATGAGTTCGAATCCCGGCCAGGGAAGAAAAAAAAATTTGCTTCCGCAAGTTTACAGATATAACATTGTTGGGCTGTTGTTTAGACGAATTATATATCAGCAGGGTTTAAGAACATCCGTTGTTCGACCTGCTAGTCAAATGCGTTTTGTTAAAATATACTTTTTCACTTTTTTGGGTTTTTGGAAAATGTTGTTTGTGCTGTATTAAGACCCCTCTACAAAGAAATTTGTTTTGCATGCACACGTATAAAAATTGCGGTTTTTATCCAACGCCATCATAGGTTTGAACGTTGTTTTCAATTTAGACTTGTATATATATATATATATATTTATACTTAAAATTCTACATTTTTCTCCAACGGTTTAACATCTTTGTGATAATCATGGGTGATAATGTAACTAATGAAGTCAATGGTAAAGTAACGTCACGATTATTTGTCCGTATATATATATATATGTATATATATATATGTAATTGCAATGTTATTGTAAGGCAGCGATTTTGTTAATTTGTTTATAACCATTTATATCATATAGGCAACGAAGTAAGTGAAAAAGATTAAATAAATTATAAAATTGCTTGTATTTTTTTTCAACGCTTAGCGGTATGAAGTGCAACGGTTTGCACCGTATTAAATACTTATTTTTTTTTATCTTGGTATAATTGCTGTGAGATGACAGATTTGCTTTTTTTTTTGCTTTTTAATTCAAACTGTATGATCTCCCTTTAAACCTATCGTTTTATTTGATTTATTATGGTAAGACGGTCAGTATTTCAGCAAAAGAAACTATAAAGATCACAATTGCCAAATATTTCTAAATGGTAAAATAATTTCTATAGTATTTTATACAAGTGACATATTTTATTATATATAAGGATTGGAGAAGAATTATTTTTAATTCTTCTTGAATATATTTATAGTTTTTTTTACTTTGTTCACATTATACTTAATTGTATGACGCATAATCATTCGTATTTTATTTGTTTCCTGTATGTCTAATATTATACTGTTACTTGCATAGGTGATTTCATTTTGAGTTCAAAATAATTTTTTATTCTAATTATTGATGTTTTTTCCCTACTTTTAATCTATTATTTTGTATCTTTATCTAATAATTGAAGGAATGAATTGTGTTTTTATTTGTTCGTATAATTTTGATTCGGTAATGAAATACGTTTAGCTAAGATCATGCATTATGTAACTGAAATGGTTTTCAATCATTTGCTTTGACCTTAAGCCTTAGAGATTACAATACATATTCCCGATGCGCATTCATTTGGCTTTCCAAAGTATTATCAAAATAAGGATTTAAAGTATTTTTACAGGCTTTTTAAAACTAAGTAATTTTACCGTCATTATTTGATTTCTCAATATACAATCGATTAATTCTCTAAATTTACTTTAAAAAAAATAGCAACAAATTCTGATCGAAAATATTTGTAAAGGTACATAATGAACTCTTCAGAAAAGTACACTATTTCCGTTGGAATGTTCAAAGATGATATATGCTAATTTAAATTATGCAATATCTTGTCAAGTCATTCAGGTAACACATACGTAAATAATATATAATTGATGTCATTCTTTTAATGTATATGATAACAATTGACCTGAAGGTCATCTACCTTTGTTCATGAATATATATTAATCGTGAAAAGCGCAACAACTCTGATTTACTATATCCTGAAAACCTTCATTTCCTCAAACCAGAGGATTGAAATTCGGGTGCAACAATTATAATTCGCAATTATCTTGGTATTTTGTGGTTACTTCCCTCTTTTCAATTAAAAACACATGTTCTATCCATTTTGGCCTACATTTAATTACTTGTATATCTGTGATTTAAGAAATCTTTGAGTGGCATATTTTAATTCATTTTCAAATTCAAATATAAGTAAATTTAAGTAATATAATGCGTAATCCAAGCTTACAACATGAAAATGACATTTAATATAATTTGCTGGAAATATATAACAAGTGACAATTTCTCAATTTATTGTGAACATACAATAATTAATGTTATACCTTTTCGTGTTTCATTAATAACATTGATAATGGAAGACAAGCCGATATATTGTGAAAAACCAAATCAATGGCCGTTATATATAAATGCTTTTTTGTATGAAAAAGGAAATGCGTTATGATAACCAATGAAACACATATTCAACAGAGACCCAAGGATGAGGAGGTAAAAACTACAAGTCACCGTACGTCTTTCAAGACAGTCCACAACGTTATGAGCACTTTATTGTTTGTATCTTTAAATTAATCTTTCTGTGTAATCATTTTATGAAGTTGACAATAGTGAGGTTAGACTGAGTAAACTTGGTTCGATGACAATAGATTTAATAAGCTCTAGAATATATTAGTACAGTTTGTTGACATTGCACAATGAAATATCACAATTTTAATATTGTGCCAAATTTATTGCATAATGCAATTTAAGCTTAACTTGAACATGATACATGAAACACTGAAGCCTTTACAACGGCGATGGACAAGTAGAATATCACAACATTGAGAAAACAATGGTACGTTAAAGTTCTGGGGCTTGTTTATCGAAGCAGTCTTAGGATTAGGACGTGTCCTAAGACCATCTTATTACACGTCTTTGTCCTAAGTCGTGTTCTCGAAGCTCTCTTAACTTAGGATATATCCATTTTTCGTCCTAACTTTAGGACACCTAATTATGTGTCTTTAGATCATCCTATCTTCATCTTAACTCAACAAAGTTTGGATTCCGCTTTTTGCGCATTATTTTAAGCGAAGATGAACATAAAACGAAACGCACCATCGGTTATTAACTCGTATATTAAGAAATTGTGCATGATTTAAAACTTTGAACTTCGTGTTTCACGGTACGATGACACAACAAATTCAATTCTCATTTCAAAACAAATTGTTTTCCAGTTTAAATTACAAACTTTTTTGATATTATTTTATAATAACATTTGAAATCATGCATTTTAAAATTATTTACATGTAATTATGAAATTCGTAAACAATTTTATTAATTGGTTTCGTCATTAATAAATGTTTTATCAAAAAATTACTTTAACGATTTAAAATTTCGCACTTATGATATGTTTAGGACGCCCTAACTTAAGATGCGTCTGAGACAGCTTCGAGAAACAACTTTAGAGTGTCCTAAGATGATCCTAAGTCCATCCTAAAAATGGTCTTAGGATGTGTCTTAGGACGAATCTTGGGATACTTTCGAGAACACCACCCCTGATGTTCACATTCACGAGTTCGACCCTGGGGCCTGTTTATCGAAGCTGTACTAGGATTTGTCCTAAGAGCTATCTTAGGAATGAATTAGGATAAAGTTAGGACCGACTTATGACATGTCTCAGCACGCACATCGAAGCTATCTTAGGACTGTCCTAGCTAGGATGTCCTAACCACTGTCCTAAGTGTTAGCGTAAAGGAAAATAGGATATTAAAAATGAAAGATATATAAAAATGCATCGAATTACGCCAGTAGTAAGCATTTTAAGATTAAAAATTAGAATTATCATTAGTATTATTATAAAGATAATAAATAATATTTAGCTAATAATTGTACATTCAAACTTTATAAAACAAAA